ACAGAACATCAGAATGAAGCTGCAAGAATAGTGAACACAGAAGAACCAATTCTAAGGCTAGAATATCATCAGCCAACAACAAGCAAAAAAAGAAAAGCAGCCCCAAAAAAGCAGAAAGAAGAATCTGAAGAATCAGACGATGAATGTGAAGAAGTAGAGGCAAGCAACAGGCCGCCTTCTGTAAACCTCAGAACAAGAGTAGGACCAGCCCCTTTCATGAAGTTGATTAAACTGTTAGATGAAAACAAAAAAGCAGCAGTTGAAAGGATTGGATTTGCGGGACTACTGCATTTAAGCTTTGACAGATTCTATGGAGATTTGGTTGAGTTTCTGTTGAAGAACTTTAGACCAATTTCAGGACAGCTGCAACTTGCCAATGGTGAGCTGCTAGATATTGAAGATGAAGATGTCCAAGCTGTATTTGGTCTGCCAAAAGGAAATATTGAAGTTCAAGAAGCGAATGTGAAGAATGAAACTGAAGAGTATACCCAACTGCTGCAACAATGGAGAGAAGAATGGGGGATTGATAAAGGAAGCCCTCAAACATAAAAAAAATGATTGAAAAAATAGTTACAGATACTGATTCTGGAGACAGATTCATCATAAATTTTGTGGTCTTCACAGTCTCTTGCTTGATTAGAGGAAACCAGAGTGTGAGGAGCAATTTTAAAATATTGCTGTCTTTGGTGAATGTAGCTGATATACCAAAGATGAACTGGTGCTATTACACAAGAAGATCGCTGATGGATGCATGCGAGGAATGGCAAGCTAATCAATCAAAGATGTTCAGTGGACCATTACTGTTTCTAATGATATGTTACTTTGACCGAGTACAGTTCAAAGGCCAAATTATGCAAACTGCTTTCCCAACAATTAGAATCTGGGACAAGGAGAGAATTGACAAGAGAGTCAAAGGTGAGAGAAAGGTGGGCTTTGGTCTAGGAAAGGTGACAAAGCGAATATTAACAGTGGAAGAGGAAGACAAAGATGAAGAAAATGAAGATGCTCAAATGTTGTCAAAGGAGGTAAATTTTATACAACACTTTGTGATCTTAAAGACTATTTTATGTAACTTAAATCTATTGTTACATAACTATAGGATTTTGCCAACATGTAATTTTAAAAGCTCTTTTATGTAACGTAACTCAATAACTATGTAACTTATGTATTATTAAACAACAAATATTATAATTTTTCAGCATTGTGTAAAGGAGATTATAGCTGTGGCACAGAAGTTCAGTGATGCCTTTGTGGAATTTTCAAAGTTGTCGTCAACCATTGCAAAAAAGTTCCCCAATTCTGATATCTTGAAAAAGATATACTTGACCACAGCTGATTACTTCTTCAATCAAGCAAATGGAAATCTACCAAGTGGAAGTCAACGATTATCAGAGAAGTGTGTCCTTGAGGAAGATGACGACTTCTTTAATGAGCCTGGAGTTATGGAAGCCCTTGAGAAGCTGGAGAAAGCAGCATTCCTAAAATTTTCAATGCCTTCATTTGATTTAGGCATTGAGTTAAACATGACTCAAAATGAAGACACTCCAAAAGTGGATGTAGAAGCTGGGATGACTGAAACTGCTGCTGAAGTAGAAGATGAGATGACTCAAAATATTGCTGGAGTGGAAGATGTGATGACTGAAACTATTGCTATTGATGGAGAAGTGAATGGTGACGCTAAAGTGGCTGGAGAGAATAAAATAGCTGCTGAGGAAGAAGAGAATAGAGAGGTTCTCATGCAAGGAATGGAGAAGACTGCTGATGGAGAAGATGGAGAAGCAAACAAAAAAGATCATAATGAACAAGAGTAAGTTTTTTTAGTTTCTTATGTAATTCATTATTACTTTTAAGTAATAAAATTAATTTAACATTATATTGTTTTTTCCAAAGGAATCTTGGGCTAAAACCATATACAAGAAAAAAGAAGCTTCGAAAGTTAGGTGATACAATGGTGAATTACAGATCACCATTTCTCAAGAACAATAGAAGGCTGTGCAAGGAGTTGAGCAGGGATGAAAAGATGATTCTTGACTATGGATTCTCTAAAGAAGTTGAAAAGTAAGAACTTCTGATATTATATAATGTATTATTTCAATAGAAACATTGTTTCATAATTAACTATTTCATTTTCTTTGGAAAATATTATTCTGTTAGAGACTGTGTCTATCAAGTTGAAGGAGCTCTGTTTCTAACTCATGAGGAGATTCAAACACTTCAAGAAGGAGATGTAGACAACTCCATCATTGATGCATTTGCAAAGATTCTGAATGACAGAGAAGAATCAAATAAGTCTACAAAGAGAGCCTTCATTGCGTCAACCCAAGTATATGTATGTATACTTTTTTCTTGTAAAATTGTAAAATAAAGTAGAGAACTGCAGTTGCTATATTTTCTTAAGATTGGCTGAATTTGAATGTGTAGGCACTGTTTGATTTTGCATCTGGTGACCCCATTGAAAATGTTGTTGAAAGATTACAAAAAGAAATAAATGATGCAGGAGCAGATGTAACAAAAGTAGATATGGTAAGTCCGGTTATGAGTTATGTACATTCTGTATTGTTTTATGTAATTGATGTTAATTTTGTGAAAGATGAATTGCTAATAACTCATGTATACCGCATATATTGTTTCCAATACACAAACATCTGCACTATTATATCTACTGCTTTTACACAAAAAACAACATTGTTGATGTCATTGACAACCGGATGCTTTCAGATGGAGTGAGCATTAAGGACAAATATGGTGAAACTCTTGACAAAATGGTACAAATTCAATACAATGTTTGTGGAAATAAGAAATGATATTATTCAAAATTATTTTAATACATTGATTTAACTTCTTGTATAGGTCGAAGCATTCAAAGCCTTCTGTGAGAAAGTGCACATTGCAAAGCAAACAAAGTGGGTTCCCAGAATGTTATATATGCCATGGAGACACAACGACAATCACGTTGACTGTGGAGTATATGCTTTGCACCACCTAGAGACATATCGTGGACAAGGACATATATGGGACTCTGGATTTACACATGCTGCTACAAATGAAGGAATAAAAGCTCAAAATGAGACCCTCCAAAAGATGAGAATCATGTATGCAGCTCAAGTTTTACTGTCAAAATTTAACAGTGAAAGAGAAGCAGTTTTGCAAAAAGCAAAAGACTACATGAAAATGTAATTCATTAATATGTTGGGTTTAGTTTGAAAACATTTGCTGGTTTTATTAAGGAGGTGATGGTATGGATTAATTTAAACTTTTGCTGGTTGTGTTGTTGGTTTTATGCAGTTGCTTGTGCTTGTAATGCACTGGACAAGTGATCTGTTTTGTTTTAAGATATTATGTTGTAAAATTCAAATGTATGTGGACAACTTACATGTTTGGTTTATAATGATTTGATGTAACTCGTGTGGTTCTACATGTAACATCGTGTTATTCAAAATATAACTTACACTCATTTACATGTAACTCGTTGAAATGTAAACTTTAATTGAATTATGTATATACATTAGGTATAGAAGTAATATATATCTGATGTAAACAATGACCACAACAAATGTAATTCACGTTACAGAACTATGTAACTCAAGGCAAGAACAATGTGACAACTTACATCTTTGGTTTATAATGATTTGATGTAACTCCTGTGATTCTCCATGTAACTTCGTGTTATTCAAAATGTAACTCGTTGAAATGTAAACTTTAATTGAATTATGTATATACATTAGGTATACAAGTAATATATATCTTATGTAAACAATGACCACAACAAATGTAATTCACGTTACAGAACTATGTAACTCAAGGCAAGAACAATGTGACAACTTACATCTTTGGTTTATAATGATTTGATGTAACTCCTGTGATTCTCCATGTAACTTCGTGTTATTCAAAATGTAACTCGTTGAAATGTAAACTTTAATTGAATTATGTATATACATTAGGTATACAAGTAATATATATCTTATGTAAACAATGACCACAACAAATGTAATTCACGTTACAGAACTATGTAACTCAAGGCAAGAACAATGTGACAACTTACATCTTTGGTTTATAATGATTTGATGTAACTCCTGTGATTCTACATGTAACTTCGTGTTATTCAAAATGTAACTCGTTGAAATGTAAACTTTAATTGAATTATGTATATACATTAGGTATAGAAGTAATATATATCTGATGTAAACAATGACCACAACAAATGTAATTCACGTTACAGAACTATGTAACTCAAGGCAAGAACAATGTGACAACTTACATCTTTGGTTTATAATGATTTGATGTAACTCCTGTGATTCTCCATGTAACTTCGTGTTATTCAAAATGTAACTCGTTGAAATGTAAACTTTAATTGAATTATGTATATACATTAGGTATAGAAGTAATATATATCTGATGTAAACAATGACCACAACAAATGTAATTCACGTTACAGAACTATGTAACTCAAGGCAAGAACAATGTGACAACTTACATCTTTGGTTTATAATGATTTGATGTAACTCCTGTGATTCTCCATGTAACTTCGTGTTATTCAAAATGTAACTCGTTGAAATGTAAACTTTAATTGAATTATGTATATACATTAGGTATACAAGTAATATATATCTTATGTAAACAATGACCACAACAAATGTAATTCACGTTACAGAACTATGTAACTCAAGGCAAGAACAATGTGACAACTTACATCTTTGGTTTATAATGATTTGATGTAACTCCTGTGATTCTACATGTAACTTTGTGTTATTCAAAATGTAACTCGTTGAAATGTAAACTTTAATTGAATTATGTATATACATTAGGTATAGAAGTAATATATATCTGATGTAAACAATGACCACAACAAATGTAATTCACGTTACAGAACTATGTAACTCAAAGTAAAAACAATGTGACAACTGCTACAGAGCAGTGACTGAGCAAACAAACTTCATTACAAAGTCTGTAAAGACAATATAAATTCCATAAAATCAAATATAACTCAGGTTGCAACGATAGTAATAACCCATAATAAGATATGCAAACTCCTCAAAGCAGTTGGTTTGATAAACATGTATAACTATAACTAATTCTGCATCTGGTTCACAGCATTTGATTGCATGAAGTATGGAGCAAAAACTGGTGGAGATCTAGGCACATGCAGTAAAGACGTCATTCCTCCAACTGGATGAGCAAGTACATAACCTTGTGGAACCATGAAATTAACCGTGTCCTAGGATCAAACAAAATGTAATGATCATAAATATATACATTAAATATATAATAAAAGTAAACAAATACCTGTACAACAGATTGTGCAACTGCTTTTGAATTGGAGGCAACATTTTGGGATTTGGAACGACGAGCTTTGACTATTTTGCACTGTTTCTAAACAATACTTCTCTTTCGGGTATTTCGTTGACCTTTAGGACGAGAGCGTGGAGGATCCAATACTGTTCTTGAAGCAGATTCATCCAAAACAGAAGAATTTCTTTGTATATCTAAAAATTGTTTAATAGAATCATATCCTTGCTCACATACTCGCCTAGCTTCAGGAAAACCAGCACTTGCACCCAATACTGAGTTGAATTTCCTAGTCATTTGCACCCTCCAAACAGAATCTTCTAATATTTTGCCAAACATATTATCGGTTCCGTGCGTAAGAGAAAGATTAACATTTGGCAGAATGGCAGCCTTTGTCCATCTAGAGAGTATATAAACTTGGAGAATACATTTGACACAATGGACATTATAGATACGCAAAATGTGTCTACAAAAAATGCCAACTTCAGAAAACATCTTACAAGTGCAGGTCACTGTATTGGCATTTTGATTAAAAGTAACACTGTGTCTAATCAAATCTACCCCTTCCAACCAAAGATTATACACATAATCATCGCCATTCTGAGAGATTAATTTAAAAAAATGAGACATAGCCTTCAAATATTGTTCTTGGAACACTTTGAAAATCTCAAGGGTATACACATCTCTCGCATGAGACAACAAACTGTCTTGTAGCAATACCATCTCAACGGTGCCTTCGGAACATCTAAAATCATGACCATTCTCCTCTAACCTCCACTCATCAACAACATCACAAAACATTTTGTAAAAATCACATAATGTTGCAGTCTTTGTAAGTCTTCTAGATATGGATCTATTTGTAGATTTACTTCTTTGTGAGGATAGACACCACCAGAGAAGTAATCCTTCGAAAAAGCAGGACACCACTTTTCTCTATGACTGTACAGTCTCTTCAACCATGTGTTGTCACTGCATTCATAAATTCTATTCAATCTGAAACAGATTTAAAAGAAGAAAAGATCACATCAAATGTTTGTACAGGTTACATCATATAATTACATATTTACATCATATAATTACAATATTACTCATAACACAACTTACTCATTCCAATAGAAATCAAACTCTGCAACAGTATCACATCGTTTGACAACATAATCAAAAAGAGAAACAAAATTTATCTTCTTGCGTAGATGCATGATGTGTTTCTTTGAATTCTCATCTATATGCCAAGTGCAGAGTCTATGTCTTGCCCCAGAAAACACAGATTTGATAGTCGCTGCCATCGAAAATGACTGGTCTGTCATGAAAGTGATAGGCTGTTTACCACCCATAGATTTCAGAAAAGTCTGAAATAACCAAACAAAAGACTCAACCTTTTCATTTAGCATAAAGACACAACCAAACATTATATTTTTACAATGATGATTCATACCAATAAACGGACCACATATCATATCATACTTGTTAGTCCCGTAAGTTGTATCATGCACAACTAGATCTCCAAACCTCTCATAATCGGATCTCATTTGACCATCTCTCCAGAAAAAACAACTCAGTACGCCATCAACCAGCTCAAAATCAAAGAAAAAATCAGATTCTACTTCAGCCCTTTTCTTCAATATACCAATCAAAGTGTTCGAATCAGTACCATCAAACGTTTTACTTCTTTCAGTTTCTAGAACGTTATAAGCATCACGTTTCGTGAATCCAAGAGCACTAACACCACCAGCCTGTTTTTGAAGCATCCTGTGAACATCTGAAACCTTTGTTCCACTCTCCTTCATCAACATAATAAATTCAAGATACTCACGATCAACACCTCTATGTGATTTCAGCAGGTGTCTTTGATCAATTGGACAGAAAGCATGGTTGTGATCAATAATATGCTTTGAGACAGTCCATTCACCATCAGAACTAATAGAAAATTGTAATTTCACTTCACAACCAGTACGATAATCTAACTTAGTATACATTTTGTTTTCAGTACCCTTTTATAGTTTCTTCCCTTCTTTCCAACAACAGTAAGACTTCATAGTTAAACTTACATTGCCACTCCTAAACCTCTGTCTGTGTCTACGAATACCAAATCCATTTTCAAAAGCATGATCATTGTAAAGTTTATAAGCATCCTCTTCACACTTGACACTAAGCCCAACAAGTGATTTATTCTCAGTCGACTGGTGAACATTTTCCGATGAATCAGACAATGTATAAAGCATATATATGAAAACAATCAACAACTACATACTTTGTCACTGTGTTACATTAAATAAAACAGAACTTACATATCCGGTAACACATGTTACACTTAAATAAATGAGAGTTAAATAACATTGAACCGAATTACAACAAAAATGAAATGAAGTTACATGACAAAACAAATACCTCTGCTAAGAAGATATAACAATTTAAAAGCTTTAGAAATAGTTTCTTCTTCTCCTGAACACAAAATCAACAACTATGAATACTCATACAATCGAAATTCTAAAGCAATGGTATAAAACAAAGAGCAAAAGATATTACACATAAACCAGTTGATCAAATCATACACCAGGAAAAAATTACATGTACCGATCAATTCAACATCAACCAGTTGATCAACTTCGAAATCATTATCACCAATTGAATGAATGATGTTATCGTGTGTATTAGAAACAAAATTATCTCGCAATCCAATCGAAGAATAAAAAATAACAGAATCATCGACAGAAAAATTCATTCAAAAACCTTAGAAACGAATCGAAGAGAAGGCAGAGCAAAAGAGAGAATTCCGTTATTGATGAGCTGCGTAAGTCGGTTAAAGTCTAAGAGTCTAAGACGGGACCTATTTTTTTTTAATAAATGAAACGACGACGTTTTTGGACCGGTATACCATGCGGATGGTATACCGATCGTATGGTATAATCTGCGTAAAACAATAGATTTGGTCAAATAATAACAATCCCGTCTTTTGACTCAAAATGGTGGACTAAGGGAGTGTTTGCAAACACTTCGAAAATGCATATATGTTTTTGGCTTAAAAAACATAAGTGGGTTCGTGGAGATTATTGTATTGTGTTCAATTACATTAGTTATTTTTCTATTTGTATCAAATAGAATAAATTTTCAACCAGGCTGACTTTGTATTTGGGCCTAGGAGCCTTTGTAATATGGAAGTCCAACCTTCATATGAAAGTTTGACTTCCATAAAACCTAATCATTGAATCAATTTAATAGCGTTCAGACATTCAAGAGAGAGACGTCCTTCACAATTGTGTATTGAATTCCCTCGATCTGTAAACTTCCTTATCTTTATCAAATTCAATTTCAGTTCGGTTTTCTTCGATTTCAGTTTATTTGGTTTGAGAGAATTTGTACCAAACTAAAACCATTTGTTTTTCGGTTTGGTTTCGGTTCGGTTCGGTTTGAAGTTCAGTTTACTAAAGTGAAAAGTATTAAGTTCAATTTAGTTCGATTTGATTCGGTTTCTTATGTTTATTACGTAGTATTTTATTTGATCAAATTCTACTCCGTAAAATTTAGAATTAGAAAATGAAAGTAGTAGTCCGTCTCATCTTTTTTTTTTAAAAAATAAAATGTAAAAGGAAATAAAAGATATAAAAAGAAGCAATAAAATATTATAAATTAAAGCTTCAAACATCTTTTTGATCACTTTAAAAAGATTCACTTCTCACAAAAAATAAATTTGTAGTTGATTAGCATTTATATTATCATATAAGATATTCAAAGAAAATAAAAGGAGTCGGTGGTACAAATGTTTTAATATTCATAATTTTATTCAAATAAATCATGTAAAAAATATAAATGTAATTTGATATTGTTATCACCAAACATTTTTTCATACAGGTAGAGTACACAACATAACAAATACAAATATGTCGTATTAGCTAACTTTATCATAATGAATGTATGAAATGTGTAGAAGTTAAAATGATACTAGTACATGCTAAATATGTATTTTTCATGTCTAAGTTATTTCTTTATATATTAAGAATGAAGAGTAAGGATAAATACAAAGTGTGTGTGTGTGTGTGTATATATAGAGAGAGAGAGAATGAATCAGATAGAAGCCTTCTTTAGCTGAAAAATGAGAAGTAATGGGAGCCGATAGATTAGATCAAATCTTACGGCTCACCCAAGCTCCTAAAATTAGATCAAATCTTACGGCTCACCTAGGTTCCTAATCAGATTGGCTAAAATTCTATTCTCATCGACTTCTATAATTCTTGCTGCTCGGATTACATTTTTCTGTCTGATCAAATACAAAATACGAAGACCGTTAGCCAATCGCTTGAAACTTCTTCGTTCGTATTTCTTCGTCGATCCAATTTGGAGGAGCACGCATCTCCGCAGGGACTGTGTGTATGTATATCTAAAGAAGATCATTGTATTCGGTCTTGTTCATGTCCCGTCCTGGCTCAATCGATATCGATGGAGTGTTTCAACGATGATTTCAGAAATTCGAAAGGTAAGTTCCGATTTATGCTTTACTGGTTCCTGATACTTGATTCAAAATTCTTCTAAATTTAGTTTGATTGGCCTTCAATTTGTTATCGTCAGGCATATTAATTTTTGATTTATTCAATATTCGAATTAGTTTTGTATGTAATTAACATTCAATAACTAAAAGACTGATATAATCTTGTGGTTTTCCCTCAGAAATAGGATTCAGTTCTACTTATGTGTTTTCAACAAATAATCTGCTTTTGATTTTTATTTGTCTATAGTTTCATTCTCTTTGTAAACTTATAAACAACTAAAAGTTTGATAATACATTTATACAACTTTAGTCTAGATCCTTTGAATTTTAACTTGAAAACATTCCCTTGATCATGTGAATTAGACATTTAAAGCTTGCTTTCGTGAGTGCATACAATGTCCAAATGAACCACTACAATGAATTTTCTCTTAATGAACTTTAGTCATTATTTTGCTCTGATTTTTGCTAGTTGTTATCAATTTCACAATAATAGTTATAGATTTAGATTTAAAAGTTAAGCTTATTTATTTATAAGTGAGGGGAAAAACCATCATGGCTACTTAGTGACTATTCATAAACATTTCAGTCTAACCAAGTAAAATATATCATTTACCATTGAGATATCATTACACATGGTAGATTTAAATCAAATTCATTTTGTTCACGAATGACAATTTATGTAAGATAATATGAATATAGGATAGGCTACAATGGAAGGTTTTCTGAAGATATTGGACCAAGTGTTATGAATTTGTTATTAGAAGTTATGAATCAGACTTTAATAGTGTGGTTGCAAAACTAAAAGTTTGCTTTTTCTGTTGATGTGGTAGAAGAAACAGTGGTAGAAGAAACATTAAGAGATCAACATGTTCGGACTTGGTTAAATTCAAAGTTCGGACTTGGTTTAATGATGTTAGACTACAAGTTATAACTTGATCCAAATAGGAGTGCTATATGTCATGTGTATGTATTGGCAGATAAACATATTGTTGACATTGTTGATTGTAATGGTTTTCTATTTTATTGGTTAGAGGCTTTGCTTTTGATTTGAAGTCATTAAC